AAGAAACGTACCACCTCCATTAATTTCTTTGGAGTAAAAATTTCAATAATTTATTGCAAATAACTTTTTTGAAAGTGCTTGAAATGAGTCAAAATTTTGACACAATGTTTCGTTTCTAAAACACATTCTGGTCTAATGACCTATCTGAAATTGACTTAACATCTTAAACTTTTGGTTTTTGACTGTTGTGGTAGAAATCTCTATTGCCGCCACCAAAATGAAAATTTCTCTGTAAACTCTGTAGTAATTTCAAGGTTATGTTTAAAATATACTAGATTTCTACAAATTTGTATCAAAAACAAGAAATTTGTCAAACTACTATATATATATGGTAAGATGTGGTGCGTTGTTTGAGTTGTTACATTTTGTAAGTGTAGTTCAAGATGTCTGTCCAGTTTTAATCATTTACAGCATGTCCACTGGGTTTTACATTTATACATAACAATATGACATGTGATCTGGGAGAATTGTCTACATCTTGTCAAAAGTTTCTTGTTTTACCCTCTACTAACAGTTGGTCAATCGATTGACAAAAAAATTATCTTATTTTGGATTACCACAGTGTATACTTTTTTATGTAATTGATTGCCTTTTCATCCATCAGAAGTGTAGCTCGTGTACTTTACAGGAAATAACACCACGTCGTCCATTTTCTTTATTTCTTACAGTGTCATGTTCGGGTGAAAAATGGGTTTATTGCATGATTCGAAGTCTTTGATAAAAATGGCCTACTAAACGACTAGAAAAATAAAGTGAGAACAAATAATGATGTGTGTAACGAAATATTTTACTAATATCGAGTGTTTCTTTCTGTATGCATGAGAAAATTGTATTTTACTATTTGGACACGTATATAACATTAATTAAAAGATATATTGAAATTTCAATCCATATACATGCTCAGTAGTCGGTGCTTCGGTGCTGGCATGATTTTTAACCTATTAATTTTTCTAAAATTCTCATTCGATAAACAACGAAATTATTAAGAATTCAAAGTAAGTTTCCAACAAAATTGACCTTAGCTGAATATGGCTATTCTTTATACGTTCTATTTGGTCATGTAGCTCCGAACGTTTCTGCTTATTTATACATCCTGCGACTCATTTCACAAAAAATCTTACGAGTGAAAATACTCGTAAGTCATGAACATTTCAGTAAAACTTACGATCAAGTTTGGTCGTAAGATAATTTGTGAAAAGACCCACTGGCTTTTAAATGTTTGGGTTTGAGTGTTTCCGGAGAAGGGACATTTGAGCGTTCCCGGAGAAGGGATATTTGAGCGTTCCCGCAGTAGGGATACTTGAGCGTTCCCGGAGAAGGGATATTTGAGTGTTCCCGGAGAAGGGATATTTGAGCGTTCCCGGAGAAGGGATATTTGAGTGTTCCCGGAGAAGGGATATTTGAGTGTTCCCGGAGAAGGGATATCTGAGTGTTCCAGGAGAAGGGATATTTGAGCGATCCCGCAGAAGGGATATTTTATTTTTCCCGCAGAAGGGATATTTGAGCGTTCCCGCAGAAGGGATATTTGAGCGTTCTCGCAGAAGGGATATTTGAGCGTTCCCGGAGAAGGGATAATTGAGCGTTCCCGGAGAAGGGATAGTTGAGTGTTCCCGGAGAAGGGATATTTGAGTGTTCCCGGAGAAGGGATATTTGAGCGTTCCCGGAGAAGGGATAGCTGAGTGTTCCCGGAGAAGGGATATTTGAACGTTCCCACAGAAGGGATATTTGAGCGTTCTCGCAGAAGGGATATTTGAGCGTTCCCGGAGAAGGGATATTTGAGCGTTTCCGGAGAAGGGATAATTGAGTGTTCCCGGAGAAGGGATATTTGAGCGTTCCCCGAGAAGGGATATTTGAAAAAGACGCGTCGGACGCACGGAATTTATGAAGTGTTATTTTCATAAAATTATGATATAATAAAAAAAAAAGACGTACAATCAGTTGGTAAAATAGTGATTCACATGAAAACACTATTATTTAATTTTGTTTATAATGACAAGCTGTTGGGTTCATATCATGGAATGGTTTATTGTTCTTTGCTTGATGCCTGGTCATTGATCAAATTTTACTCTAAGCAAGCAAAGAAATTTTCTGCAGATCATGGAGTTGTCTCCATTTACAGAACTTTCATTATATATTTCACATGATTTATATTTCCTATGAACGCAAGTTAGAGAAGGAATTATTAGTACATTTTAGTAGAACTTTGCAATCAAAACAAAATATCAAAATAATTAGTCGTAGGCTCATTAGGAGTAAATGCGCTTACACAGCACATAAACACACATACTTTTATATACATAGTTCCAAGTCAATAGCCTGTAGTTCAGTGGTTGTCGTTGGTTCATGCCTGTCATACTGTATTTGTTTTTCATATCTTGTTTTGTTCTAAATTATAGGCCGTTAGTTTTCTCAATTGAATTGTTTCATACTTTTCATGTCGGGGCCTTTTATAGGCGACTTTACGGTATGGAAATACAATAGAAAGTTTGAGGGTCGGTTGAGAGCAGAACTTTACGACAAAAGAGATGATTTCAGCTTCCCAATTATGAACTTTCCATTTCTGTGTAGCAACATTCGAACATTGCCTACATATTATGTAGTATGTAACCGGAGAGCATGATTATATTGCAAGATCACTTTGTCTCCTCCGGGACCTCTGTGTTACAAGGCAGCGCTCTAACCGACTGAGCTAAATAAATACTCTTACGCTTACGGCTGACTAAGTATTTACTATTCAAGGGAAGTAATCCCGTCACACTCCCCCACCTCAAGAGTCATCATACCATTATGACTCAAACAACCCTTACCCTGGCTAGAAATGCTCTCTAAATACCGTGGGTTTTTAAGTAGGGCGCCATATGTAACCGGAGAGCATGATTCTATTGCAAAATCACTTTGTCTCCTCCGGGACACGAACCTAGGATCTCTGTGTTACAAGGCAGCGCTCTAACCGACTGAGCTAAATAAGTACTTCCTTAGCTCAACCGCTTACGGCTGATTAAGTATTTACTATGCAAGGGAAGAAATCCCGTCACAAGTATATGAGATCAACCTTTGCATTTGGTGTGGTTTGTGTTGCTCAGTCTTTGGTCTTTTATTTTGTGTTTTGTAGACTGTTGTTTTAATCCTTTTCTGTTTTTTGCCAAGGCATTGTCAAATTTTTTTTTTAACTTATGAGCTTTATTATTGCTTTTGGTATCTTTTGCCTCTCTCTTGTGTCTTAAATATAGTATCAAGTTTAATCACAAGGTTTGACATACATGTATGATATGAAAAATATACGTAACGGATGTCACTAGAGGAACATGAAACGCCAAAATCAGCTTGGTTTTAGATGCATGATTTTTTTATTAAGTTGTTAATGGCTTTTGAACTAGTTGTCAGTAACTGCAAGTATTCTCAGTGGGGATGTAATATCCGGACTGTGTTTTTGTTAGACGTTTTTCGGCTTTGTATCGATATGCTGAGAACAGCCCTTTTTACCTGATGTTGATAGTGTGTTCTTTTGTTGTACTGTTACACCACTGTCCCAGGTTAGGGGGAGGGTTTGGCGACAACAAACTAATCTAACCCCGCCACATTCTGTATGTGCCTGTCCCAAGTCAGGAGCTTATAGTGATTGTTGTTTGTTGCTGTATATCATATTAGTTTTTGTTCATTCTTAGTTCATTAATCAGTTCGTTTGATTTCTCGTTTGAATTGTTTAGTGGAGAGTTGTCTCATTTGCGATCATACCACATCTTCTTATTTTCATTTTTGGTGAATATTGTCTATTCAGAGGAGACATTGTTATTTTAACCGACGTTGACAACTTTGACCGGAACTAATCAAGTCATCTTCCGGTTTGCTGGTGAAACAAAGAAAACACTTGTTTCCATGCATCATGCAAAATACGCAAATACAATACGATAAATCGATTATCTGGTTGTCTGCATATTTGTATTGTAAAATATAAGCTGCAAGTCACAGTATGAAGCCTTTATGAACTCGTTCACTGTGCTCGTTCGACAAAAAGCTTCCTATTGTGACTCGCAGCTGATATTTTACGATATCAATATGCAGACAACCTGATAACCGGTACATTTTTGTGATTGTCATTCATGTCGACAGTCAATAAGAGGTAGTATGGGTCTCCCGCCAACTGGGATTGTAAAATGGTAAACAAACAATCGGTCTTCAATTTTTAATGAAATAAGCATTATTTTCTTTTAATTTTTAAAAAGCTTTATATGAAAGCTATCTTCGCGTAATATATCATAGTAATTTACTTTTCTTTCTTTACAAATAATAATGCCTTTTCTCTACTTACAAAATCTTTAATTTTTTCACAATTTGATACACTAGCTTGAAATCAAGCTCGGTGACCTAACGTTTTCATTTGTTGGGGACATACTTGTAAAAATATATGAACTACAATCTGACAATGTAAAAAAAAAACAACAATGTCCATCAATTGTATTAATACCGCCCTATATACTATATTTTACCTTGATAGAATAAAAATGCAATTTTGTGAAAATTAAGATTTCGTGATTTTGAAGTAATGCGTGAATAAAAAGCAGTGTTTTAACGAAAGAAATATTCCTTAACTGTCTGTCCTAATTCAAATGTAGCATATAAACCTGAATGGAAAACTTTCACGTGATAGTTATATCCACAAAAAGTCAACGTTGAGCTTACTTTGTTTTTCAATGGTCTAGTTTTAAAGTGTATATGGAGTCGATGAGGAAGCTTGTACTTGGAAAAGGATGCTAGCATTTTGGTTTCATGAAATAACGAGCATTGGTAGACGGTATTTGCCCGTTTATCTTTCTTCAAAGTTTCAAAATATTTTTAAGCATACATAAATCAGTACAACTGTTACAATAGTTTAACGAGTTATGCAGACCAACCCACAACGTCATTGACTTGTTTGGTGACAGATAATACATGAACAATTCTATGATAATTATACCACTTAAAAGATCATACCTTACATTCAAATTAATAAAAATATTACATAATAATTGGCAAGCATACCACTTCTTCTTTATTTTTAGAATAATAAATAGTAAATCTTTTTTTTTTTGGTTTTTACTGTGCATGTATAATTGATTAAATTGAAATATGTCTATTTCATTGAAGATTTCATAACATATCTTTACAACTTGATTGTCTTACAATACGTGTTTCAGTATTTCGCGATTTTTGATCACAGCAAATTTGTATTCCATGCGTTATTTCTTTTTCTAAAATTTCTTCTAATTGCAATAACTGTCTTTCGTTCTCTTCCTGTTTTTCACGAGAATCCTCTCTAATTGTTCCATTTTGAAAAGACCCAAAGTTTCGTCGGTTATGATCGAATAAAATTTGGCGCCGCGAACCGCCGAAACTTCCCATGCTTCGGCGTAACGTACTCTGTCGCCGAAAAATAAAACTGTCCTTGGTAGATGAGCTATTTGTGCGACGTATCATAGTCTTCAGACAAGTGCAACATGGAAACCAGATGTAAAACAATGTAAATAAGTCGGCCTGAAATAAACAACACACATGTTTAATTGCAAATCAAAGACTGAAAATTGACATATGGTAAATATTCGATGCATAAATTAGATTATTCAAATAATCGTCTTTAAATTCTAAATGAAGTGTTTTCTGTTATAACCCAGAATACTAAATTCATCGCTTAAACTGTTGCATATGTCATGCACTCGTTCAAAACCGCTAATTTTAAACACAAAAGTTAGTTATTTAAGGCTAAGGTTTATGTTTTTAACAATAACACTAGATATGTTTAAAACCAATGTCTTAATCCTGTAATTCAAACGATAACAACCAAGTATCAGGCTGTGTACATACATAGCAGATGAACACCTTGAGTAGTTAATAGAAGTTAATGTTTAACATTGAGGTATCCAATGTTCGAATCGAAGAAACTACATGTACATGTATACACATATTTAAAAAAAAAAGAACTAAAAGATATTAAAAATGGGGAAGAGTTGAGAACTCCAAAAATTAATTTAACTCTGTCATATTTTCATTAGCACGTCCCAGGTCAGGAACCCGACATAATTTATCGTTTGCCAGATATTTCGAAAATTGTTTTCTATATTTGGAGAATTGGATGGTTATAGCAGATCTTTGATTGTTTATGTTGAATGTATACACTACTTTTATAATAGACTTGGAACGCTTTAGAACTTTGTATATTGTATAGACACATGTCTATATTGGTAGACTGTATGTTGTCATCTAGATGATTGCTGGTTATTTTTGTCGTTTTGTTGCTGTCTCATTGACGTATACCCTACACCTATTTTTAATAATATGTATATGCATCAAAAAAATAATTTCTTAGAATTTGAAGTAGATTCCGAACATCTGCACAACGCTATCTCTTTTTTATTGTCTATTTCGTGGTATTTGCCAAAAATTATAATCATGCATTGGTATTCTTCATTTGTTCGCTTTTTAATATGTAACTGTTATCGCTTGCGTTTTGATAGCAAACGAAAATTGGAATCAAATCGAATGTGAAATTAACCACCAGTTTTTATATTCATATTGGTTAGAATTAAAGACAGATATAAAAATTGTTCATTAAGATAGCAAGTTTCGACGATTATGTGTAAAACAACTATATGTTTTCCGATCAAAGGTGGAGATGTATGCCCTCTAAACCTTCCCCTATACTGGTTCACTGTCTTTTATCTGTGTGGATCTAGGGTGGCTCAGTTACCCATATGTTGCAGGAAGAGAACCAATAGAACCTCCCTTAAATCATCCATTTAATCCATGACGCTACAAAAAGGGTCCTGTGATTTGTGATTTGTGTGTGTGTGTGTGTGTGTGTGTGTGAAAATGCATATATTTTGATCATCTTTTTCCAACTACTTATGGCACTCACTGGCACAAGTATAGCGCTCAGGCAAGTTCCAACAAAATAGTTTATCACCTCGAGCTTTTATCTATATGAACATATAAGACCCCTTATTTAAATATTTACATGTATCTGCATGGTACTTGCATGTGCTCAATACTTATAACTCACAAATATGTGTCTAAATATGCGATTTTGTTTTTCCTTCTTTTTTTTTTAACATGCTACATGTATCTTTTTACCGCACAAATACAGTGGTTTATAACATTTTAAATTCCTACAGTTTAAACGGGCACATGCATATATCTCTACCCGAAAATCACCAAAGTTTGTGATTTTCAATTTTAGTCACCTCCTCCTTTGCAATATTCTAACAAAACTTTAAAAATTAATCAGTAATATAAAACCTGAAGCATTTTGAGTTGATGGTGTTTTTATTTTTTTTTTTTTTTTATTTTTTTCGTTTAATGTCTTTGAATTATACTGAATTTCAACGATTTCCAAAAGTGACAATTCGAGTATAAGTATTAGGAAAAATGGCCCTGTCCATTCATCTTTATCTTTTGGTGGAGTATTTGAGAAAAAAAAAACAATAGTCAAGGGAACTTAAGATTTCCTTAGTCGCCAGGCGAAGGAAATTCCTTCTCAAGACTGGTATTTTTTGCAAATATCACTCATTAACATGATATATCTGTTGTTCGTTCCCCGGCCATGTCAAACCACTGATTCGAAAATATGAAGTTTCTGCTTCTCTGCTAAGCATGTGGCCTTTAGTAGTAAGAACAAGGACCAGTAGGCCCTTGAGTCAGAATAATTTGTCCGGCTCAGATGACATGTCTTATTGTTAACTGTGCTTTGTTAACTATATGTAAAATAAGGAGATGTGGTAAGATTACCAATGAGACAACTATCCATCAGAGTTTAATGAAGTAGATATGAGCTAATATAGGTCACCGTATGGCCTTCAACACTGAGAAAAACCACAACGTTAAGTCGGTAATAAAAGGAACCGACATGACAAATGTATATCCTGCTCAGCGTGCCGGCCTAGTACAAGGTTTATATTCACATTATATAAGCGTCTTCCCGTCCGGAATGTGCATGTAATGCGCCAATAGAAGTTTAACAGCCATTCGTCATCATTTATTCGTGTTGTGGTATGTCTTTGACAAGTATTACACTATCATTGCCGCTCAATCTATTGTAGCTAAATCAATAAATGCAATTCCTCGTTATTACATAATTTCTTTCGCACGGATTCCACTGTTTTACAGTACCACATGTTCTTTCTTTGTAAAACACTTACCAAAAGATTCACAAATGAAATCACATGCAGATAAAACTGTCTCGTACAATTGAACGGTAATTTGACATCACGTTAATGAATCGTGCGTTGTCAACAGTGACGATGTTGTATTATTGAATCATGGAATATCCATGTCCAGTGGCAAATGTGTTATGTAAATTCAGGACGAGAATAAATTAACAATTCTTATAATAGGTAGATTTTGCAATGAAGCGAACATGGACGTTCGGCGGGAAATTTTGGATAGGGAATTTTGATTTTGCACATATTTTCCCTTGCAAGCAGGCCACCATCGGTGAGTTGTTGCAAGCATCCGTTAACGTAAAGACAGACGGGCATCCTCCAACTACGAGGTATTGAAAAGTCACATTTGCAAAAAATATTGTGAATCCAATGAGATTTATTTTCTAGTTGAAGTAATATACAAGTATTCTAGAAATAACTTTTAAATTTGTTTTCAAATATGCTATATACATGATATATATAGCCGTATACATTTTTTTTTATACAGTTTTGATAAAATCTTGTAAATTTAACATTTTAGTCAAAATCAAATTGAATATATACATCTATATATATTTATATACAACTCGTCTAAACATAAGCCCAACAATGTTAGATCTGTAAATTTGCTTTCGGAAATTTTTTGTTCTTCCCTCGCCGGGATTCGAACTCATGCTTCTGAGATATCGTGACACCAAATCGCCTGCACTGTATCCGACGCGCTAGACCACTCGACCACCTATGCTTCACAAATAAAAAGCTTTCGGTGGCCGGGTGTTACCTTTCCTCGTCAGTTTTAATCTAGCGTCGTAATACAGTACATGATATACAAGGCATGAAGATGGAATTGTTACAGATCAGCTGAAACATCTATTGTAAAGGATCCTACAAATTAATGCAAGATACAGTCACAGAAATATATATATAATGTCTAACAATAGCAACAATCAACATCCAATCTATGTAGGCGTGGATCAGTTTGTGAAAATAAACTGATACAGTTACTGAATTAAAATTATATAAATGTCTAAGAATATAACTTAAACACGCTAATTGATACATTAAAAAGTTCTGTTAGATTTTAAATAGAAATACGCAATATTTCGCTAGACAAACTAGCTTCATCAGGCGTGTGCATCTCTCAAGGTATATATATACATAATTACTCTAATTATCAGCACAACAATGTTAAATCTGCAAATTTGCGGAAGCAAATTTTTGTTCTTCCCTCCCCGTGATTCGAACTCATGATATTTGGATATCGAGACAACACCGCCTGCACTGTGTCCAGCGCTCTAGCCCACTCGACCACCTAGACTGAACTAACAAAATTCAGCTTTCGGTGGCCTAGTGCTACCTTTCCTCGTCAGTAGAATCTAGAGTTGTAACACAGTACATGATATATTAGGCATGAAGATGGAATTGATTGCAGATTAGCTAAATCTATCTATATATAAATATATATTATATGATAGATATGGTAAATTGTTCTTACTTTTGTCACCTTTTATTGACCAATAAAAACGAAGATATTTTTCAGGAATTAAATCAACATGTTTCCGTAGTCACTGCTGACGGATATTTACAGAGAGCAATTAAAGCACCATGATGAAATGCTAGTATGTTTAACGTCATGTACAGTGACATTTAAACTGACAGTAGAAATCAATTTTGTAAGATATAATCACTTATGTAACTTTCCCGTTTAATGAAGAACTGCTAGAAATGACTACTTAATGTCAAATTATACTATCTGCAATATCTTGTGTAATCATTCTACCGTTAAATGAAAATGTCTGAATGATCTAGATAATATTAGTGACATGCATGCTTGCGTATTTGGACTCAGTGTACTTAAATCTTAACAAGACCTGAATAAAATTCTAGCGAAAACTTTAAATCTAATTCGTTTATTTTAAATAATCGATATAAGTTTTATTATCTTATTAAATGAAAACAAGTGTGCCTTCATCTGTTTTTGAATTGAAATAATAGAGACTAGACCTACTCCTTTTCTATTAAATAAATGTTTAAGTCATTAGTTAAAATGTTTTTAGTGGAATTTGAATATATCTATCTATACACTGATGTTACAGACAAATGTTGATTACATGTATAACAGTGTAACTATACAATATATTGCAAATTGTACATGTTTTTTTGTAAAATCTTCTGTCGATCGACATAATTAAAACATAACTTTTATTCCGATAGGGATTTGCTTTTATATTAGAACTGCCTTTCTTGGTCATTTTTTTTACAAAAGTATTTTTTGGTAAAAAGATCAATCGTAATCATATTCAAATACTTATCAATTTGAACCGTTTCAACACGTAGCTAATTCATAACAATATTCAATTACTTATCAATGTGAATCGTTTCTACATGTAGCTAATTCGTAATCATATTCAAATACTTATCAATGTGAATCGTTTCTACATGTAGATAGTTCGTAATCATATTTAATTAATTCAATGTGAATCGTTTCTACATGTAGCTAGTTCGTAATCATATGCAATTACTTATCAATGTGAATCGTTTCTACATGTAGCTAATTCGTAATCATATTCAAATAATTATCAATGCGAATCGTTTCTTAGTGTAACTAGATCGTAATCATATTCAAATACTTATCAATTTTATTCGTTTCTACATGTAACTAATTCGTAATTATATTCAATAACTTATCAATGTGAATCGTTTCTACGTGTAGCTAGTTCGTAATCATATTCAATAACTTATCCATTTGAATCGTTTCTACATGTGCTAGTTCGTAATCATAATCAATGACTTATCAATTTAAATCGTTTCTACATGTAGCTAATTCGTTATCATATTCAATTACTTATCATCGTGAATCGTTTCTACATGTAGATAGTTCGTAATCATATTGAATTACTTATCAATGTGAATAGTTTCTACACGTAGCTATTTCGTAAAAATATTCAATTACTTATCAATTTGAATCGTTTCCACGTGTAGCTATTTCGTAATCCTATTCAATGACTTATCAATGTGAATCGTTTCTACATGTAGCTAGTTCGTAATCATATTCAATTACTTATCAATATGAATCGTTTCTAAGTGTAGTAAGTTCGTGATCAAATTCACATACTTATCCATTTGAATCGTTTCTACATGTGCTAGTTCGTAATCATAATCAATGACTTATCAATTTGAATCGTTTCTACATGTAACTAGTTCGTAATCATATTCAATTACTTATCAATATGAATCGTTTCTGAGTGTAGTAAGTTCGTGATCAAATTCACATAATTATCAATTTGAATCGTTTCTACATGTAGCTAGTTCGTAATCATATTCATTTATTTATCAATTTGAATCGTATCTGCATGTCAATAGCTCGTAATCATATTAAATCAATTATCGATGTGAATCGTGTCAACGTGTAGCTTGTTTGTAATCATATTCAAGTACTTTTCAAATTGAATCGTTTCTACATGTAGTTCGTTTGTAATCATATTCGAGTACTTATTAATTTGAATCGTTTCCACGTGTAGATAGTTCGTAATCATATTCATTTACTTATTAATTTGAATTGTTTCTACATGTCATTAGTTCGTTATCATATTCGAGTACTTATCAATTTGCATCGTTCTCACGTGTAGATAGTTCGTAATCATATTTAATTAATTCAATGTGAATCGTTTCTACATGTAGCTAGTTCGTTATCCTATTCAATTACTTATCAATGTGAATCGTTTCTACCTGTAGCTAGGTCGTAACCCTATTCAATTACTTATCAATTTGAATCGTTTCTGAGTGTATCTAGTTTGTAAGTTTATTAAATTGTTTTTCAATTTGAATCGTTTTTACATGTAGTTAGTTCGTAATCATATGCAATTGCTTGTCAGTGTTAATCGATTCTACATGTAGCTAGTTCATAATCATAATCAATTAATTATCAATGTGAAATCGTTTCTGAGTGTATCTAGTTTGTAAGTTTATTAAATTGCTTTTCAATTTGAATCGTTTTTACATGTAGTTAGTTCGTAATCATATGCAATTACTTATCAATTTGAATCGTTTCTACATGTAGTTAATTCGTAATCATATTCAATCACTTATCAAATTGTATCGTTTCTACGTGTAGCTAGTTCGTAATCATATTAAAATAATTATAAATGTGAATCGTGTCTACGTGTAGCTTGTTCGTACATTAATCATGTTCAATTAATTACCAATGTTAATCGTTTTACGTGTAGCTAGTTCGTAATCATATCCTATTACTTTTCAATTTGCGTTATCATATTCATTTACTTATCAATTTGAATCGTATCTACATGTTGCTGGTTCGTAGTCATATTCAATTACTTATCAATTTGAATCATTTCTACATGTAGTTAGTTCGTAATCATATTAAATAACTTATCAATAAGAAAAGTTTCTAAGTGTTGTTAGTTTGTAATTATATTCAATTAATTATCAATTTGAATCGTTTCTACGTGTAGCTAATTCGTAATCATATTCCATTAATTATCAATGTGAATCGTTTCTTAGTGTAGTTAGTTCGTAATCATGATCAATTACTTATCAATTTGAATCATTGCTACATGTAGCTAGTTCGTAATCATATTATATCAATTATCAATGTAAATCGTTCCAACGTGTAGCTTGTTCGTAATCATATTCAAGTACTTTTGAATTTGAATCGTTTCTACACGTAGCTATGTCGTAATCATATACAACTACTTAATAAATTGAATCGTTTCCACGTGTAGCTAGTTTGTAATCCTATTCAATTACTTATCAATGTGAATCGTTTCTACATGTAGCTAGTTCGTAATCCTATTCAATTACTTATCAATGTGAATCGTTTCTACATGTATCTTATTCGTAATGCTATTATATTACTTGTCAATGTGAATCGTTTCTACGTGTAGCTAGTTCGTAATCATATTCAATTATTTATCAATGTGAATCGTTTCTGAGTGTAGCTAGTTCGTAAGTATATTAAATTACTTTTCAATTTGAATCGTATCTACATGTAATTAGTTCGTAATCATATTCAATCACTTTTCAATTTGTATCGTTTTTACGTGTAGCTAGTTCGTAATCATATTAAATTAGTTATCAATGTGAATCGTGTCTACGTGAAGCTTGTTCGTAATCATGTTCACTTAATTATCAGTGTGAATCGTTCTACGTGTCGCTAGTTCGTAATCATATTCAATTACTTTTCAATATGAATCGTTTCTACATGTAAGTAAGTGATAATTACTATACCTACCCGAAAATTATCATTGGTAAAACTATAAATAATTGGATTTGCAAAACTGTTAGACATCGCTAACCAATGTACCCCGAGGTAGATGCCTAACAAAAGTTTCTCGTCTGCTTCCGTGTCATAATCTAGAACTTCCGGTTGAAAATCTATGACTAACGTGAACACATGTAATGGAAGCCAACAAAGTCCAAATATGGTAACAACTATAACTAGCATCTTCACGACCTGAAAATACAGAAATAGAAAATTATAATCCTTAATTTTAAAATAAAGTTAAGAGACTTTTAGGAATACAAATTACTGTCAATGGAGATGATGGATAGCATCTGGTGTCTGAGTCTTCCAATTGAATGACATTTTAAATGTTTTGTTTCGATTAAAGAAGGATTTTTGTTTTAAGTGTGATGTTTTTTTTCACGTCAATTTCAACAATTTCGTGACAATCAATCAATGTAACTCAGACGAATTAATAATGTATCACCCACGACTACCAATCAGTAATCAATTTGTCAAGGATTACGGTTTATGTAGCAGCGACTCTTTTCACAAAAAATGTTACCACTACAGTTGATCGTAAGTTATACTGAAATGTTCATGATTTACGTTTACTCGTAAGATTTTTTGTGAAAAGAGCACATGGAAAGGATAAAGTCACAGGCGCTTTGGGACTGGGCTCCTTTTTTTTCTCTCTCTTTGTTTTGTGTTTTACTTTTTTTAGTAAATATTCTGTACAGTTTTACATTTTGAACTTATTTACAAGCAACGTGTACACAAATACAACTTACAAAAATTAATTTAAGTAGTTAAATTTACAGATTTGATTCAATGTGACATATTCATGGTCTTCAGCGTCATGCTTAATCTTTATCAGTTACCGGGTTGCGCGGGTTGTTCAGTGTGCACTACATTTTTTATTACAGTCATTCTTTAAATAATAAAAACAGACCACATTTCGTTTCTGGTACATTAGAGATAGTATAAAAAAAACCATTCCGCAGTAACGAATAATTTTCGTAAAAATACTGACAAACTTGTGTAATTAGAGATATTGTAATATTACAGATATTATTATAAATATAAATAATATACTAATTTTGTATTAGTAAAGACTGTTTGTAACAGTAATTTATTTATTCAGATATTTATACCAATGTTATTTATTGTTAATTCTACGGAATATTCTCCCTGGATATTTAGTAGTAAATTTAGCAGGGATACGTGATGGAATGCTGTACACCAAGTTTTTTTTATTGTTAAAACAGCAATATGTGCAATAAAGAATCAATTTGAGTGTTAAAAAAAAATAATGAAAACAGATTAAGGTGGTACCTTACACTACAGGGAGATAACTCTGTAAAAATCAGCTAAACGTTTTAATTACGTTGTATTGTTAAGGAAATATTAAGCTTCTCAATGATCAAAATTAGTGTTTGTCAAACTGCTATATAACCAATGAAATTTTTCTGATAAAGTGGTTGGTTCAAATTTTTTGAAATTTTTATATTTTTGTCAAAGGGTCAAAGTAAACATTTTGTCAAATTTTTATGAAAATTAAACGAGCCAAATTAATATTAGTCAAGGTGTTGGGTACCACCTTAAAGTATCACGGTTGTTGTCATTTGATAATAAATCAATTTAATTTGGTCATGATCTCCGTGGACTATCATAGGAAAATTAATAATTCCGCCTCTCCTCTTTTGAGTCGTGCAATAAGTTCATAGCCTCCACATCGTGTTGGTACACCTTTTGCTGAACATTTTACGATTTGTTTGATGTAGGAAGATAACAATAGTTCTATTTACCTCAAATTAAAATGTACATAAATATTATACTGGCTAATATGAGATAACAAAAAAATGTTAGTGTCTATCAAGTATCGCATTTTGATATTCTTATTAACAGCACCTGCAACAAAAGTAAGTGATATGATAATAATGAAAGCCAATACTTGAACCAATTATCATGTCTGATTATCGGTCAATCAAAGTTTATACAAATGACATTTACATTACAACAGATTCAGGAAGCACTCATCAAATCAAAATGGACCTTTATTTACATTTGTCTGAGCATTTCTTTGTTTCAACATCATTAAGATAAGAGCCATATTTGATTAGGACCTTGTCAAGGAGACAGCGAAATAAATATCAACATAAAAATAGCTCAGCCAACATGGTCATCAAACTTAGTAATCTAGGTTCTGTCATTTTATTAATTTGTAGTTGAACTCTTTTTCAAAACATAAGGATCAAATAACAAGTGTCCAATACGTGTAATTGCTTTATAGTTTAGTTAGATGTTCCTTGGTGGAGACCTCTGCAGATGCAGCAGTTTTTTATTTGTAATTGAGCCACAACTCACGACTTGTGAAAATGAATTATATTTTGTACTTGCGCATAAATCTTTCTAAGAACAACCAGGGGCTATAAAGCTTTACGATAACATGTATTTATTATAGTTATAGAATGTAAATGTATAATAAGACTAAAAATCAGAATGTTAATTTGATTTACTGATGATTTCCATGTTGAGGCTATAACCTCCTCGCAAAAAAGAAACCTGACAAAAACAACAACAACACAAATGAATAACACAAAAAAAATAAGTCCAAACAACGATACGTTTTTATAAGAATTTTCAAAACCTATTACATGTTTTAGCCTCGGAATGCACCGCGATTTATTTTAAATCGGTATCTGGTTATTCTTAGAAAGATTTACGCGCAAGTACAAAATGTATTTCAGATTTTCCCAAGTTGTGAGTTTAGTACAAGAGATGAAGAAGCTGCTATATATATATACATGTATATAATTATATATTTGTAACACTAATGATGTTTTATTGTTGATATATATTGTGAACATTATGCATACATGGAATCTAAAAAAAAATCACAAAAAATCGAAGCAGTTAAATTAGTTTAACTCTTTGACTACGACAATTCTTGTCTCACAGTTTACGAAACAATGTTTGAGAAATCCATTAGTCGAATGTCAATTACATACTGTGTAGTGATGCATCAGTGTTTGTGAATGTAGCAGATTACATATAAATCCTTTCTTTTAGTATATTAACACTGTAGTGGTTTAGTACAAGATATGAATTAGCTGTAACTGATAATCAACGTTACAGAGCATACAATCATTACCATAATAATATTACATAACACGTAGAAGATACCGAACTAAACTGTAGCTAATCAAATTAAAATTTACATAGACGTAATTCAGAAATTATAGCGTGCATTAATTTGTTGCAAATTTTTGAAGTACGGACAAAAGTGCGAGATAAAATATTCGATTTCAGGAAAATATGCATACCGAGATATGTATCAGATAACAGAATACCATTTCACCCAGTTGTATTATTGGCATTAATAAACACTTCTCAGTTATTTCTGAATTATACTGTATGGACATACGAACACAAGTGTATAATAACAGGGAGCAGTACCATGGTAGCAATCAATAAAAGTTGAATAAAAACAAACAACCCTATATATGGTCAAATGAAAAAAAGACAAAAGACAAAAGACAACAACATCCCACAAAAAACTACACAACAAGTTTAAGATTTAGTAACATGAACTCAACCAAAAGCCGGTGATCAACTCCAGTGCTCCGGAAGGGAAAGCAGTGTAAACGGAGTGCATAATTCTATTGCAAAATCACAATGTCTTCATTGGGACTCGAACCCGGGGATCTCTGTGTTACAAGGCAGCGCTCTAACCGACTGAGCTAAAGAAGTACTTCCCTAGCTCAACCGCTTAAGGCTGGCTAAGCATCTACAGATGTACCAAGGGAAGCATTCCTGTCACACTTTCCCCGCTAGTGTCACCTGTCGTGTTGCCTATTTATAAGTTTATATCGATGATTAGACACATTCAAATTTGACCCATCGAGGAAAAGACTGACACAGATATTCCATAATGGTTAACCAAATCATGATGGCGTCTGTAAAAACTATAAATAACCATACGGAAAACATACCACGCCTCTCGTCAAAATCGATTAGGCAATAAATACTCCTGAAGGGTCTGGGTGCGCATATCCTAGTTTTAAAAAGTGACAAAAGAGTTAAAGTATGTTAATAGTGGATCGGAAGCTGTAAAATCCTTTGACTTTATACAATTGTTTTCGGCTACATAACAATTGTCTTTAAAACAGGAGTGTTTGCAGATGTTTTACTGCAACTGCAAATCCGATCTAAGGAAGCGGTATAACAGTATGCATTGTGTACAAGAACCGCTGAGTCGTTCGTTTCTGAGGCCGCTACTTTCGTAAACTAGTCCATGACCATTGATTTTTATGCTCTGATTACAATTTTTCTAGTCTCAATTTCGAAAAGTTAACCTGATGATTTGTACAGCAAAATTATTTGCAGCTGATTTAAAATGGTAATTCATTTCCAACAAATTTATTTATCGATAGCCTAACGGTAAACAGTACACAGACAAACTGGATTAAAGTTAAACATAGTTGTTTTAATATAAGATATTACATGTTATACATAAATCATCAATAAATGATTTTTATCAAATACGGAACTTGCAAATCAATATTTCATCTTCTCGTATATCAAATACGAATTTTCATAATTTGTATACATGTAAACGATTTATGCGCTGAATGAAATTCATGAACGTACAATTAAGATTAGGATTATTTTTTTTTTGTGTTCATGTATTCTATAGTATGTACCTTCAGTATTAATGTAGTTTGCTATATTTTAATTGTTGGATATAAATTATCTTTTTCAATAAGTTCTGGTATGATCAATAACTAGATTTGTATTACTTATAAATGAGATTTTGAACATACATCACACTTTTATACAATTTAGTAAAATTATCTGCAATTATAGTCGTCAAGGTGTTTAAATTGCGTGTAGTATTCTAAAGTACGAGAGAAACTGGATTTTTTATTGAGAAAAGGAAAACTCATCGCATGTTAGATAAAGCTATAAAATATAAAGTTTTTATACAGAACTTTACCAAAGAGTAAGGCCAATTTGCCTGCATTTGCTTCACTCACTCAAAATCTACGAAAAAAGAGTGAATACTGTACATAATCTTAAAATATATACTGTTTCACAATTTAACAATTTCCCATAAAATTAGAAAGTTATTCAGTGTTACACAGGACATCACTAACCAAGTTGAATTAATTTGCATCCGAAAGACAATACACAGATTTAATGCCAATATAATTGAGATTTTGTTTTAC